GCAAACAGTGATAGTTTAACCTCTTCTTTTCCAATTATTACTCCTTTAATTCCCCTCTCCTGTCTTATGGCTCTAGAATAGTTTCAAGCACTACCTTGAAAAGGAGTGGAGATAGTGGATGTCCTTGTCTGGTTCCTGATTTTAATAGGAATGCTTCCAGTTTTTCTCCATTTAGAATGATGTTGGCTGTGGGCTTGTTGTATATAGCTTTGATTATGTTAAGGTATGTCCAATTCCCTCTAGAACTTTGGACATAAATGCATGCTGAATTTTGTCAAAAGTCTTTTCTGCGTCTATTGAGATGACAATATGGTTTTTGTCTTTGAGTCCATTTATATGATTAACGATGTTTATTGTTTTGTGTTTATTGAACCATTCCTGCATCTCTGGGATAAAGCCTATTTGATCGTGGTGAATGATCTTTTTGATGTGTGTCTCTATGTGGTTTACAAGTATTTTGTTGAGAATTTTTGCATCTATGTTCATTAAGGATATGGGTCTATAGTTTTCTTCTTTGGTTGTATCTTTACCTGGCTTTGGTATTAGAGTAATGCTGGCATCATAGAAGGAATTTGGAAGTTTTCCCTCCATTTCTGTCTTTTTGAAAATTTATTCAAAAGTAGTATTGGATGTACATCTTCTTTAAATATCTGATAGAATTCTGCTGTAAATCCATGTGGTCCTGGGCTTTTTTTAGTCAGAAGGTTTTCTATAACTGTTTCAATTTCTTTTTGTGTTATGGGCATCCAGGAGGCTGGCGGGTTGTACATCCCAGAGGGAGGTGAGGGCGGGACCAGGCCCAGAGGGCTCCTGGGGACTATAAGAGGGAACTGGGTTCATCTAGATGCAAAGGAACAGGAAGCAGTGGTGGTTCTCCAGGTATCTGAGGCACCAAGACAAGAAATGGGAGAGGAGCCAAGCTAGGAGGAGAGATGGGTGGGGGAGATGTGAGAGTGAATGAGGCTGGGGGAGTTAGGATGTGGAGGGCACGATTGACTTCCCCTAGAGAGAGGCTGGCAGGTCGTGCAGGCCCAAACTTTTTTTTTTATTATTATTTTTATTTTATGTGTATGTGTGTATTGCCTGCATGTATGTGAGTGCACCCGTGTTGTGCAGTGCCGCGAAGTCAGAAGAGGGCTTCAGATTCCCCTGGAACTGGAGTTGAGGATGGTTTATAGCCACCATGTGGGTGCTGGGAATCGAACCCAGGTCCTCTGCAAGAACAGTCAGTGCTCTTAACTGCTGCGCCATCACTCAGCCCCATTAATTATTATTATTTTTTATGTGTATGCATGTATTGCCTGTGTGTAGGTAAGTGCACCCGCGTTGTGCAATACCGGCGGAGGACAGAAGAGGCCATCAGATCCCCTGGGACTGAAGCTATGGACAGTTGTTAGCTGCCATGTGGGTTATGGGATTCGAACCCAGGTCTTCTGCAAGAACAATCAGTGTTCTTAATCTCTGAGCCATCTCTCCAGCCCCAATTTTTTTTTTTTTTAAGAAATACCAATTTGGGCTGGAGAGATGGTTCAGTGGTTAAGAGCACTGGCTGTTCTTACAGAAGACCTACATTCAAATTCCAGCACCTGCATAGCAGCTAACAACCATCTGTAACTCCTGTTCCAGGGGATCTAACTCCCTCTTCTGTCCTCCGCAGGCATTGCACAACACAGGTGCACTTACATGCATGCATGCAGGCAATACACTCATATACATAATATAAAAATAATAAATATGCTGCACGTGGTGGCGCACACCTTTAATCCCAGCACTCGGGAGGCAGAGGTGGGCAGATCCCTGTGAATTCAAGGCCAGCCTGGTCTACACAGTGAGTTCCAGGACAGCTGGGGCTACGGGGAGACCCTGTCCCAAAAAGACCAAAAAAAAATAAATAAATAAAATAATAAAATAAATAAAATTTAAAAATAAAAGAAATATCAATTATTTCTGTTTCTCATATCTTTTTTTCTTCCATTTTTCAGATCCAAAACTAACAGGAAAGACTGTTACTCCAGGATCAGTGGTGTATCACAAACAGTTGCAAATTCTGCTGGTTCATTGCAAGGTACATTCACTTTAGCTTTAAATTATCATATTTGTTTTACTGAATTTATAGTTTGTATTTTTTTTCCTTTTCTTTTGAGACAAGATCTCACTATATATCCCAGGCCAGCTTGAACTCACTGTGTAGCCCAGGCTAGTCCAAAACTGATCATCAAGTCTCAGCCTCCTGAGTATTGGGATTGCAGGTATGCACCACCATATCTCAAATTCTTTATTATTTTCATTAAGATTTTACTTAATTGGTCGTATGTGGTGGCACACATCTTTAATTCCAGCACTCAGGAGGCAGAGAAGTGGATCTCTGTGAGATCAAGGCAAGTCAGTCTAGTCTTTATAGTGAGTTCCAGGCCAGCTGGGGCTACAGGGAAACGCTATCTCAAAAAACCAAATTTTTTTTTTTTTTACCTAATTGATTGCTACTCAGATTAGGGCAATAGACAACATAATTTTCTTAAGAAACTATGAAAGGGCTGGATAGATGGCTCAGCAGTTAAAAACACTGGCTGCTCTTGCAGGGGACCCAGGTTCAGTTCCTAGCACCTATATGGTGGCTAACAACTGTCCTTAACTCCAGTTATGGGGGATCTTACATTCTTTTCTAGCCTCCACAGGCATTGCGTGCACAGGCACACTTACATATATTCAAGCAAAGTACTTATACATATAAACATAAATAATTTTTAAAGTTCAAAAACATCTGGAACCATTGTTTTATAAGGCCACAGTAGCATATTCCTGGAAGTGTTCCACATGCCTTATGTTTCCTGAGTATTTTCTGTTATGTGGTATTTATGTGAGATTCTGCATACTCAAAAAAGTTGGCTTAAAATGTATGTTAGGGGTTGGGAATTTAGTTCAGAGGCCCTGGGTTTGATCCTCACCTCCAATAAAATAAAATAATGTGTGATAGATTGATCTGCCAACACAGACTATAGATGCAGAACTCCCCCATCACCTCTCAGCTCTCTCCAGCTCATTATGAAGCATGTTAGGTGATCTGTCACGTTCTGCCTGTATATATGTATATCCCATGTCTGAGTTTGCTCTCATAGAAGCATCTGGGGTTAGGGAACATGGAAATTTGAGCGTCACCAGTTGTGTTACCTTGGGAAATTCACCCACCAGTTGTGGGCATCAATTTTCTAAAACGGGAATGATACTGGATCTGCCTACCTTCAGTTTTTAAAAATAAATAGTTTATTGAGACTTTCATACATGCATATAAGGTGTTTTGATCAAATCCATGCCAACTCCTCCCATATCTCCCCATCACTTTTTTCTGATAACTTCATGTACTCTTTCTTCTTCTTTGATTTGTTTTATTTTATGGGGCTTCTGGCTACTCTTAACATTCCCCCCTGAGAAGAGGTAAGCCTAAAATCTTTGAAGGATTAGATACAAGCTCCCAAATACTTTCAACAGTTTTGGCATTTGGAACAGAGTATTTTGCTAAGAGGCTCAAGGACATTTTGACTTTTAGCCAAGAAACTGGCTACTTTTCTTTGGGGTCTTTTTACCCTAACTGCCAAGCTAGTTCCTACCTCCTATTCTTATCACACCATCCTCTGAAGAGGTTACCGAAATTGCCAAAAGGAAATAGGGACGCCACTCTGGCTTCTTCCATGCTGAACGGGGACACAGGGTGAGACAATTGGAGTACCCCTTCAGTGGGTCTATCTAAAAGACTCCCAAATTGCATAACTCTTATCTCTGAGGGGAAAAGAAAGTCCTAGAATTGTGACTAGGAGATGTGAAGGAGAAGTAAAGGCAAGAGTAATTAGCATTACAAGTTCTAGCCAGAGAACTAGAAAAGAGAACAGGGCAAGCTGGGCATGATGGCGCACGCCTGTAGTCCCAGCACTTGGGAGGCAGAGGCAGGTGGATCTCTGTGAGTTCAACGCCAGCCTGGTCTACATAGTGAGTTCCAGGACAGCTGAGGCTACAGGGTGACCCTGTCTCAGAAAGACCAAAAAAAAAAAAAAAGAACAGGGCAATTTTCAAATGTTCATATGAGTCCATTGGAATTTCGCATCCCTTTATTGTGTTCCTCCTCATTTTTCTTTTGTTTTCCAAGCCTGGACTCAAGAGTGATGGATTCAGAATTTGCTTTTAGGTATTTTGATAGCTGTTGGAATGGTTATAATCAGTGTCAGTTCCCTCTCAAAGGCTTCTAGATAGGGGGAGAAAACAAATTTATCCATCATTTTAGAA